TCTTTCTCTGACTGACTTATTTCACTTAGCATGATACTCTCCAGGTCCCTCCATGCTGTCTCAAAGGGTAAGAGATTCTTCTTTTTTTACTGCTGCATAGTATTCCATGGTATAAATGTACCACAGCTTTTTTTTAAATCCACTCATCTACTGATGGCCCCTTGGGCTGTTTCCAGATCTTAGCTATTGTGAATTGTGCTGCTGTGACCATAGGGTGCATACATTCTTTCTGATTGCCATTTCAGGTTTCTTAGGATATATTCCTAGAAGTGGGATCATTGGGTCAAATGGCAGTTCTTTGTGGTTTGATATCATATAGAAAACAGGAGATATGGGGAAAGATAATTATATCAGGTTGCAAAACATCCACAATTCTATTTGAACTATCAACTTCCTCTTCTGAAATATAAAGATTTTGTAAGAATAAAAGAAAGCTATGACTAAGTACTTTATAAAATAAGTTGCAATAACATTTTCAACTAATTAGCTTAGGTTTACATGATATTAAAATATTGATTTAAGTAGTTTTTCCCCCCAGTAACGATTACAGCATATTAGTAACTTTTCTAATCTTTTAGTATGTATTATTTCATTTAATAATCAGATTAACCATTAAAGTAGTTTGGTAGCCAAGGTGGGAAACAGAGAGTTCAGATAAATGCCATCGATCATGAAGGCAGAAGCAGCAGATCTGCCTTCGCAGCAGTGCCCTATGTGGTCCTCTGTGAGAGCCCAGGTAAGGTATTTGTACTAGTCCGGGCTGTGCGATCGTGGGCAAAGCCACGCACTCTGTCTTGGTGCATATTAGCTTATCTGAGAAATGACAGAGGTGATGTAAGGATTCTTTGTAGCTTTTGTGGTTTGATTTTCCACAACTTACCTCTTCCCAAAGCATTCTATCTCTCCTTTTTCCACAGCGAAACAGCACTCTCAGAGGGCAGATGGCCGGGGCCCTGGAGATGTGTGTGCACTCTCAGGGAGGATCAGTTAGGGAGCGGGGGAAACTGAGTCAGAAAAGGGAAGACTCCAGCCAGGTGTGATCTTGGGCGAAATGTCTCGCAGGAAAAAAGGCTTCAGCTGAACTATGCAGGGAGACAGGAGTCCAGAGTTTCTCCCGGCCTGCAGCAAGGGGAGTGGAACTTCCATCCTGTTATCCTGGTTCTCAATGGAGGTTAAGGTCACCCCTGGTGGAAGCATAAACTCCCAGATGTCTCAGGTTCTCTGCATGTTCAATCAAGGAGGCTCCCGTAGCCTGAAGGTTGTCCCAACAATAAGAGTGATAATGGGCTTCACCGAGAGCAAAAGCACACGGGAGCTAGAGGAGGCCACACAAAAACAATGACAGGGATTGGAGAGGATCTAGTCAGAGTGCCAATGGTGCCTGCTACCATTACCCAATGTGTATTTAAGGGGGGACAACTAAATATTTACTAAAGGAAAATTTCTAAATGCGAACATTTGAAATTGGGATATAATTTGTAATGATTTGGCATAATTAATGTGGAAAATGGAAATAAAATGGGAATAAGGTAGGTATAATTAGTTGACAAAAAGGAAATTAAATTAGTAAATATATAAATAGAATAACTAGAGTAAAATTATCAAAAGAACATAAATTAAAAGAGGTACCAATTTTCACATATTGCATTTTTTAAAAGGGAAAGAGTGATAGGAGAAGAATAAAAAGAAGAAGAAGAGGAGGAGGAGGAAGGGTGGAAGGAAGGGAGAGAAGGAAGAAAAAAGGAAGACTTATTGTTTGTAACTGTGGTAAACAGAACAATGTTTTTCATTCTTGGGAGTCTAGCATAAGAAAATAGTTTTAAAAGTTTTATTATAAGAATTATTCGATAAGTGACTTGAGACTTGCTCCAATTTTAGTAGACCTCTGGGGCTGTGATCTATGATTGGTAACTTAAGTTCTTTTTGTCAGATTACTTATTTGAAAAATAAATAAGAAAAAATGCTTATTAAAAGGATCAAAAGAGAAAGCAAAAACAAAACGAAAATTCTGTGTGTGCCCAGATCAACCACAAATCTAAGTTTAGCCCATTTCTACGCCAGGAAGCGATACTTTAGCAGCACTGCTTGGCTCACAACCTATGTCCAAAGCCCTGGCCCTGGCTCTGCTCAGCATAAGTGATGTCTGTCTTCTCTTTAAAGTTTTGCTTTTTTGAACTCTTCAGTCACACTCTGTTTTCATGTTTTTAGGTCCCCAAGTAGAGGGCATTACTAGGCTGACAAGATAAATCCATTAAGGGTATGGTGGGAAAGATTTATGTAAAACCCAACCAGTCCCATCTAACTCTTAAAACCTGCTATAGTACATTTCTGTACATGAAAACACATTAATGAGCCACTTGGGTGTGGATAAGGAGCCTTCAGGAAGTGGATAAGAGGAGAAAAAGAATAGACTTGTCCTAAATAATAAAGCGAGAAGTATGGATTTTCAAGGAGAAACCCAATGAGAAGAAAAGAGAGCTCCCTGGTGGGAAACGCTCTATAGAAGTGGCAGCTTACAAACTCTGAAGAGTAGACATATCTAATGGGTCAATTGCAAGTTACATGCTCTGAAGTGCTGTGATGAATTTCCCTCCATTACCTTCAAACTCTCAGCAAAGGGGCCTACACCTGCAGCCTTGAGACAGCCATGTTTTGGAGTAAAGGGACTGGGCATGTCCAGTAAAACGATGGAGACTCTGTGAAGGTGAGAACAGCATCAACACAGGGTCCAGTGTGTTGTTGAGTCTTCAATAGACCTGATGCACACTTGTCTTTCCCCCCACATTTACTCAAAGGGAGTGATACTTAGAGATGCTGGAGGAGGGAAAACTCAAGTTATAAGAAGAATGCATAATTTAGCCCTGATTTGAGTATATGTAGCTGGTATCACCTCTGCTAAGGAAAACTGATATTTGGTGACTCACATTCATTACATTTGTAGGAATCTTTCATGACAACCTCATCCGTTTCTTAAACATAAAAGGCATAAGGATCATGGGATGTAGAAAGTGTCATTAGAATGCAGATTCTGAATGCAGGTCTAGGGCAGAACTGTGGAGAGTGGCTACAGTGTTTGGACAGGTTCAAGCCTCAGACTAATGAGAGGACACAGTCCTCTCATGGTCACGTGCAAGTCCCAGCTTGGAGGGCAGAGCCCTCCCAGCACAATTATAGCCAACACCTGTAGTTGTAAGCTTGAACCTATGGTCCGAACACGTGGACCCACGTGTCTGAGTGATGTGGGCTTGATAGAGTTCAGGTGCATGTAGTTGAGTAGGATTGACACTCACAAGAATGTTGTAAACATCTTGACCACACCCTTACTTTGCCTCTTGGAATCTGGCTATAAAATAAAGACACAACTTGTAGTCCGTGGCGCTGTCTCTCCACCCAGGAGCTGCGTCCCACCCAGACCCAGCTTTCTTCTCTTGTCTGTCTTTTCTCAATCCTTCACTGCCCCCTCTCAGGGTCACTGAACCTGGCTGAGCTGGCGCGGCACATAAGGTGTCCTGGGGCTGAGTATGCCATGCCATGCCAGCTCACCACACAGAACCTGAGATTTTCTGTTTTAAATAAGATATTAGGGGATGTTTTGAGGTATAAATGAGGTAATATATAAAGTGCCTATATGCTATAGGTACGTAACAAACATTAAATAATTCCATAATTTTTAAAACAATGTAAATTCAGTGAAGAATATTTGACCTTATAATATCCCTCTATTGGGGGAGATATAATTCACCATCCATATTAATTCAGTGATTTTTTGTATATTTATAAGATAATGCAACCATCACTACTATGTAATTTCAGAATATTTTAATTACAACCAAAAGAAACCCTGTACCTATTTGTACTGTATCCCATTCCTCCCTCCCACCAGTCCTTAGCAACCACTAATTTACATTCTATCTCTATGAATTTACCTATTCCAGACATTTCATGTAAATGGAATCAAGTTATATGTAGTCTTTTAAGTCTGGCTCTTTCACTTAGTGTAATGTTTTTAAAGTTCATCCACAAGGTAATATATATTGGCATTTTATTTCTTTTTATGGCTGAATAATGTTTCATTGTATGGCAATCCCATATTTTGTTTGTGTATTAATCAGTTGATATTTGGATTATTTCCACTTTGGGGCCATTATTGATAATGCTATGATGAACATCGATGTATAAGATTTTATGTAGATATTTGTTTTCATGTCTCTTAGATGTATACCAATGAACATGACTGCTCAGTCATAAGATAATTTCATGTTAAACTTGAAGAATTGTCAGTTTTCCACAGCAGCTGCACAATATAAAATTCTCACTATGCAGGTTTCAATTTCTAGAAATCCTTGCAAAGCTTATGGTCCTTTTTAAAATTTTAATAGCCATCTTAGTGGGTGTAAAATGTTATTGCATTGTGTTATGAATTACATTTCCCTAATGACCATTGAGCATATTTGTATATGCTTCTTGGCCACTTACATCTCATATCTATTTCTTGCTCTGTTAAAATTTCTTCCTTTTTTTTGTTCCTCAAATGTGATAACTTCAATATATCTATCTTCTCATTTGCTAATATTTTTCTTCCACCTGCTCAGATCTGCTGTTGAGCTCCTCTAATAAAATTTTCATTTCAATTTTTGTACTTTTCAACTCAATTTTTATAAATTTCTTTTTTGTCATTTATATTTCTTTACTGATATTCTCTATTTAGTGAGACATTATTCCTATCCTTTTTTTAGTTATTTAGACATGGTTTCCATTATATGTTTAGACATATCGAAAATAGCTCATTTAAAGTCTGTTTCTATTAAGTCCAAAACCTGGGCTTCCTAAGGGAAAGTTTCTTTAGCTTGTGTGGTTTTTTCCCTACATATGAGTCATACTTTGCTTCTATGCATGTCTCACAATTTTTGGTTGAAAACTGGCATTTTATATAATACAATGTAACAACTCTGAAAATCAGATTTCCCCCCTCCCTACAGCTTGATGTTACTGTTGTTTGTAGTAGCAGTTGTTTGTTTGCTTGCTAAATTTTTTGTTCTCATTCTTTAAAATTGTATATAGTCACTGAAGCTTTTGAGAGTTGCTAAATGGCTAGTTAATGATTTCACAAAACACCTGAAACCAACAAGTCCCAGTCTTTGCCAAGTGTTTCTGGATGTGAGGGGCATGTCTTCGGTGCTCCGGCAACGTGTGGCTCTGCCTTCTCCTCCACCTCTTGCTTACACAGCACCTCCAGTCTGTCAGGGAAGAAAACGTGCAGCCTTGCCAGGTTTTTCCTGGGCACGTGCACAGCTCTATGCATGCGCCCGGTCTTCTGTATTCTGACAAATATTTTGGAATTTTCCAAAGGCCCTATGGACATCGCATTCCCCAGTTTTCTCTTTCAAGATTTTTGCTAGGTTTATGGTTTGCCCCAACTGTTATCTATTGCTTCAGACAGCAACAAAGTTAAACAGTTTCTTCTAATTTTTTTAAAACAAATTCCCCTGGACCCTGGCCAGTGTGGCTCAGTTGGTTGAGCATGGTCCAGTGCACCAAAGGGTTGCCAGTTCGATTTCCTATCAGGGCACATACTCAAGTTGCAGGTTTGATCTCTGGTCTGGGTGTGTGTGGGAGGCAACTGATCAATGTTTTTCACATTGATGTTTCTCTCTCTTTCTCTCTCTCCTCCTTCCTCTCTCTTTCTCAAAAAAAAAATCATTTAAAAAGATATTAAAAATAAGTTCCTTGGGAAAA